TGTACCCGTGGTAGAGCAACTGAAGGTTCTCGCAATGTGACCCCGAGAAGCCCCCATTTGGATCATACCGCTGGCTCATTCACGTTATTCTGCTGTAAGTCTGGGCATTTTCTAGCTGTGGTCTTTCAATGACACTGATGACAGCAGGTTATATGGAGGCATTTTATACCCAAAATTGTAAGTGCAGTTCGTGTGGCTGTGAGAAAACCGATTTTACAAGAACCTTACCTGTGAACCATGCACTGGAAATGTTGCATTCCCGCTATACATTTCAAGTCTCTATGAACATGGGAGAACTTGGGACACAGTATTTTGCAACATTTAAAATGACACATTCTGGGACTCAACCCAAAAAAAGTACTAGAATCTGTACTTTACTGAGAAAGTGTAATCTGTACTTTACTGAGAAAGTGTAATCCCAAATAGAACATATGTTACATTTGACCACTTTCTAAAATGGCATTGTGTATTTCATAGCTTTTGGCCTTGGGAGCCGTGCCAATTAACACATATCAGAGGGGTACACAAAGTCCGCAGTCTAGACTACCAGTTTTCCAACTTCCATTTTTGTGGAAGCCACAGTGGCTGAGCGGTCTAGGCGTCTGACTTTGTGTGCTGGCGATTAGGTGCCTGACTCTGAGGTTATGGGTTTGAATCCCGGATGGGACTCAACCCCCAAAAAGTACTAGAATCTGTACTTTACTGAGAAAGTGTAATCTGTACTTTACTGAGAAAGTGTAATCCCAAATAGAACATATGTTACATTTGACCACTTTCTAAAATGGCATTGTGTATTTCAATTGATAGTATAGACTGATCAACAAAGATGACATCTTTTTTACTCGATAATAGTTCCATCTTCATTATTTTGATAACAAATGAAAACATTTTGAAGTTTAACCATCTGCCAGTGGTAAAAAATGTTAGGACTGAAATAACGAAGTCAAAGTACGTCTTTATATTTTGTCTTATAATCCAAATTAGTTTATGCATATTTGTATGCATTTTGAAACTTAGTCAAATGCACACAATCTGCTTATGCTTAGTGAATTTATCATGACTGTAATGTCTAGACATTTTATAGATTGCAAACTTGAATCATATTTCAAACACACCCTGAGTGCGACCTATAGTTTGGCATGAAATGCATGTGGACCCGTTTTTTTTGTAAATATCTCTACATCCAATGATCCAATTGATCTCAAACTGTGCAAGTGGATGTTTTGTCAGACAACCTAATCACATTGTAAATCACCGATTTTATGCATTTGTATTAAAGAATCTGTCTATGTAACTGTCAACAAAATAAACAGCAGAACGCAGACTGCTTGCAGAGGGAGGGAGCCAATGACCTGTAACAGCGGCAGAGTTGGGCCATAAAGGTCAACGTTCGTCAATGTAGGTCAGCTATGCACGTGACAGGTATGAAGAGGTGTCACAGGTCGTGAATAGGGAAAGGTGGGTGCCAACTGTTAACCATCATATGGAGTTTGTTTCTCTGAGTTGTTCAACATTAACCACAAAACCCATTAGTGAGAATTATTCTGTAGGTTAAAATCTTTAAATTTGTAATGTTAATGTCATATTTTGTTTATGCAGTGGAAATGAATTTAAAGAACACAGAAAGTATATTGACACTAAATCATTAATCGGACCTCCTATGGTTAGAACTCAACAACTGTTAAAGCCCATTCCCTCGGACACAAGCACACACAATCATGCACACTCATGAAGAAAAGATAGAATGAAGACAAAAGTGTTATGTTTTGATGTCGTTCACATTCCAAATTAAGCAATGCATTTCTAATAGCTTTAAGCATATAGATAGTTAAGATTTATATTTTCATGATAATTTTATGTGAAATGAGTGTTTCATGTTACACTATAAGTCGTTGGAATTAGTCAATGCTGTCATTGTTAAAAGAAGTTATATTTCTTTGAGCATATCTGGCTGGATACTATATTATCTGTAAATATAATAACAGAATTAAACTTCATCAAGTTCACTCCATTCTTCCACAGAGGAGTCATCAGTGTCCAGACGAATGACAACTGGATTAACTGTTTGCTCCTTCAAGCCATCTTTGAGCCAGTACTCTTTCTCCACCTTCTTGACATGTTCAACACATGCATGCCAGCGTGCAATGTCAGTGTCACATATAGCAGTGTTGACAATGTGCTTGACATCATTCAACTTGAATGATTGATTTTTCCGGGCCACTGTACTTTTAAGGTCTCCCCAGATAAGTTCGATTGGGTTGAGATCACAGTGGTACGGTGGTAATCCCAAACCTTATGGCCGTGTTGGCGTAGCATGTTGTCATTGTTATATGTGGGTGGAGGTTTGTTTGATTTATTCAAAGAGTACAACTGTGGTTTAGTGGCCTTAATTGAAAATTGTATATTGTTATTTGTTAGCCATTGCTGCATATCTGACTTCTTTGTATTGGAAGTTGGGCACCTATTGTTTGGATCTCGAACACTGTGATAGGGAGCATTGTCCATGACAACAAGACTTTTATAAGGCAGAGCTGGCAACAATTGTTCCTCAACATACTGTGTGAAAACCGTTGAGTTCATTTCTGTATGATAGTCCCTACCATCTGTGCTCTTTGACCGAAATACCAGATCACACCCAGGTAGGAATCCACGGTGGGAACCAGCATGAAGAACGATTAAACGTTCACCTTTGCCTGTTGGTATTTTCCTACCATCACTGGGATCAGTGGGTAGCCACTGTCTGGCAGCAGTATGGTTTGCATTGACCCAGGTCTCATCCAGATATAAAGGTTCGAACCCATCCTATCTTGCCTGCTTAATTTCTCTCAGATAGTTACACCTTATTTTCACAATATCAGATCTCTCACACATTACAAGTTTCTGGTTTGCTACCTTCTTGTACTTGTATCCAAATTTGAGCAGTAGTTTGCTTAGCATAAACCTAGAAACATTAATGTCGTGATCCTCTGCAAGGATGTGTTTTAACTTTCTTGTGGACAGGTGTTCATTTCTAGCAAATAACCGGCGAATGACATCTCTGATGACCCTGATGTCAAAAGAATCTAACTTTGGATGCCTACCTTTTTGTACAAGGTTTTGTTTCTTGGTTGTTGGTTTATTTTTCACAATTTTTAGCACGATGTTCTTTTTCATGCCAAGAGCAAAAGTTGTACGTTTCATGTAATCCGACACCTTATAAATCGGTTTGCTACGTTTGCTCTCTTTTTTAAAAAAATTAAACACATTTCTAATAAAACGTTTAGCATCATCTGAATAAGCTTTCATGATGACAGCTGGAAGTCATCAATGTGAATGATCCAAACGGTCTATCACTGTGCAGTGCACAGGTAACTATCATGAACTGCACGTGCATTGACCTTTATGACCCAACACTGCCGCTGTTACAGGTCATTGGCTCCCTCCCTCTGCAAGCAGTCTGCGTTCTGCTGTTTATTTTGTTGACAGTTACATAGACAGATTCTTTAATACAAATGCATAAAATCGGTGATTTACAATGTGATTAGGTTGTCTGACAAAACATCCACTTGCACAGTTTGAGATCAATTGGATCATTGGATGAAGAGATATTTACAAAAAACCAGGTCCACATGCATTTCATGCCAAACTATAGTGTATGTTGTCTGTCTCATTACAATTCACGGGTGAAAAAAAAGGATTCTGTTGAATGCTGTAACAAATGAATAAAAACAAAATGTCAATATTAAATTAAACTAGACTAAAGTTATAGCAACAATATCAGGCTATTACCTTGTTCGGGGAGTGTATCCATCAATATCCACAAAGGAATGGGATGCCATTCGTCTGCAGCTGACAAAGAATCCTGTTCCTTGTCATGTGTCTCTTAACAGTCTAATATGCGAAAGAAGTGATCTACGTTCCAGGTTTTTCACATTGGTGTATAGTCCCATTGGTTATACAAGATAGCACACCTGGCAACTACTTGCATGATGTCGCCATTCTTTAAAAAAGTAATTTAGTTAGCCAAAAATGAGCAATCAATCAACGTATTGGCGGTTAATCCTTTGAAGGATGGACGTTGTTTTTACACAGACACTTTATGACAGGGGGTATTCAGTATAGATTAATAAATCTACATACATAAACACTACTTTTTGACAAATCCGCTGTGCAGGATAAAAGCAATTAATCAATCAGCATGTTATCGGTTAGTCCTTGTTTGATCAATGTTTGTTTTGTAACTCAGCTGATAATTCCTCTTACTGCACTTCCATGCGCATATTACATAAGATGTAATACATTTGCCACATCAGACCTCAATTTATTTATTATTAGTATTTACTCCAGACACAAGAAATGCCAAATGGGAACCTTTGTCGGGTAATCTGAGTGGTGTTTGCAATAATTATACCTGTTATAAATCAAGAAATGGAGAAATCCAATCTTCATTGTAACCATATATATAATCATAACATATAGTGACTGTTTTTAGTGAGTCCAAACTTTTGATGGGATGTATATGTAATTTTGATTGTAACAAATAAACACCTTTTAAACTGAAAAGGAGTCCCAGGGAGACCAGAGATTCAGAACCTGAGGAAATCTAGACTTGCTTCATTTAGGGCTTTAGCATCACAGAGAGGGATATGCAGTAGGGAAAATAAGGTGGTTCAGGGACTGTGAGACAGACTACACCATGACCAGCACTGTTGCAAGCTTCAGTTACTGTATAGAAGATACTGAAACAGTTTGTGACAATTCCTTTTCAAACTCCACCTGTGATAATAAATGGATTATTGATCTCACTTCAATATGATGATCAGTTTATATCCCAAGTAAAATATTTATCAGTTTACCGTTGATAAACCTTAGGTACACTGAAAAGTATTTCCTTTGGGACCAAAACTTGGTCTTAAATTGAATCTTGTGCACTATCTCATAATGAGGCAAGTTTATGAAAGCGGGCCATCATTCTTAATCACTTTAAAGTTATTTCTATATATGTTTTCTTCTTTCTGCAGATTAACAGAGATGCAAAAATTGGTAAGATCAGCAAGGAAATAGCAACGCTGCAGTCTGTGGAAATAATGACAGCTTTGAAGAAACTAGGAGAGACTCTATCACCCGAGGAGGAATTGTTTCTACAGACCCATTCAAGTTCAAGTTTAAAAGAATTTGAACAAGTCTCCAGTAATTTAGGTATTGTTCCCAAATACCCATCAGCATTGTACAGATTCTACTTACTTAGAAATCCTTCCCTCAAGAGGAGTTTTACATGAAACAATACTGAATTCTTGCAATGAATGCTCCATTAACTTGAAAGCACTATTTTGGTGGACCTATCAAACATGATTTCTATACTGTTATGGTGGATATATCAAATATGGCATGTGTACTGTAATGATAGATTCATCACACATGGTTTGTGTACCATTATGATGGATTTATCAGGTATGGTTTGAGTACAGATATGGTGGATTTATAAAACATAGTTTGTGTACTGTTATGATGGATTTATCAGACATGGTTTTGTGTACTGTTATGGTGGATTTGTCAGATACGGTTTGCTCACTGTTTTGGTGGATTTGTCAGATATGATTTGCATACTGTTATTGTGGATTTATCAGATACGGTTTGCGCACTGTTATGGTGGATTTATCAGATATGATTTGCATACTGTTATGGTGGATTTATAGAACATGGTTTGTGTGCTGTTATGGTGGATTTATAGAACAAGATTTGTGTGCTGTTATGGTGGATTTATCCGCTATGGTTTGTTTACTGTTATTATGGATTTGTCAGATATGATTTGTATACTGTTATGGTGGATTTATAGAACAAGATTTGTATGCTGTTATGGTGGATTTATAGAACATAGTTTGTGTACTGTTATGGTGGATTTGTCAGATACGGTTTGCGCACTGTTATGGATGGATTTGTCAGATATGTTTTGTATACTGTTATGGTGGATTTATAGAACAAGATTTGTGTGCTGTTATGGTGGATTTATCCGGTATGGTTTGTTTACTGTTATTATGGATTTGTCAGATATGATTTGTATACTGTTATGGTGGATTTGTAGAACATGGTTTGTGTACTGTTATGGTGGATTTATCAGATACGGTTTGCGTACTGTCATGGTGGATTTGATAGATAGGTGAGGTGAAATTGGGTTTAACGTCGTGCTGGAGAATATTTCGCTCATGACGACATGCATGCGTGTGTATGTGTATGTGCGGCTGCTTGTAGTAGCCCAGACTTAAGCTGGTGTTATAGTGCTAGCCCACTGAGATACCATGCCGCAGTGAAGCATGAATAACCCACTCAGACACAGTATACTGACTCCAAGCCAACCAGTCCTTGTTGTACCCATTAATGCCGAACGCCAGGCAGGAACCAACAAGTAGCATATTTTAGCGTCTATTGGTATGACACGGTCGGGGATCGAACCCGCAACCTTCCGCTCTCCAGGTGGACGCTCTAACCACTACACCACGGAGGCGGCGGATTTGTCAGATATGATTTGCATACTGTTATGGTGGATTTGTCAGATATGATTTGGATACTGCTATGGTGGATTTGTCAGATATGATTTGCATACTGTTATGGTGGATTTATAGAACATGGTTTGTGTACTGTTATGGTGGATTTATCAGATACGGTTTGCATACTGTTATGGTGGATTTATCAGATACGGTTTGCATACTGTTATGGTGGATTTATCAGATACGGTTTGCATACTGTTATGGTGGATTTATCAGATACGGTTTGCATACTGTTATGGTGGATTTGTCAGATATGATTTGCATACTGTTATGGTGGATTTGTCAGATACGGTTTGCATACTGTTATGGTGGATTTGTCAGATATGATTTGCATACTGTTATGGTGGATTTATAGAACATGGTTTGTGTACTGTTATGGTGGATTTATCAGATACGGTTTGCATACTGTTATGGTGGATTTGTCAGATATGATTTGCATACTGTTATGGTGGATTTGTCAGATATGATTTCCATACTGTTATGGTGGATTTGTCAGATATGATTTGCATACTGTTATGGTGGATTTATAGAACATGGTTTGCGTACTGTTATGGTGGATTTGTCAGATACGGTTTGCATACTGTTATGGTGGATTTATCAGATACGGTTTGCATACTGTTATGGTGGATTTGTCAGATATGATTTGCATACTGTTATGGTGGATTTGTCAGATACGGTTTGCATACTGTTATGGTGGATTTGTCAGATATGATTTGCATACTGCTATGGTGGATTCATAGAACATGGTTTGCATACTGTTATGGTGGATTTGTCAGATATGATTTGCATACTGTTATGGTCGATTTGTCAGATATGATTTGCATACTGTTATGGTGGATTTATAGAACATGGTTTGCATACTGTTATGGTGGATTTATCAGATACGGTTTGCATACTGTTATGGTGGATTTATCAGATACGGTTTGCATACTGTTATGGTGGATTTGTCAGATATGATTTGCATACTGTTATGGTGGATTTGTCAGATACGGTTTGCATACTGTTATGGTGGATTTGTCAGATATGATTTGCATACTGCTATGGTGGATTCATAGAACATGGTTTGTGTACTGTTATGGTGGATTTGTCAGATATGATTTGCATACTGCTATGGTGGATTTGTCAGATATGATTTGCATACTGTTATGGTGGATTTATAGAACATGGTTTGTGTACTGTTATGGTGGATTTATCAGATACGGTTTGCACATTGTTATGGTGGATTTATCAGATACGGTTTGCATACTGTTATGGTAGATTTGTCAAATATGATTTGCATACTGTTATGGTGGATTTGTCAGATACGGTTTGCATACTGTTATGGTGGATTTATTAGATATGGTTTGTGTGCTGGCACACAAATGGGAGCAACCACATATAGACCTCTTTGCAATGCCAAATGGAGCATGGTAAATGGGTTACAGCTTCAAGCATCTCATCAAGGACATTACCTGCAATCAGTGGAAGTTGGTACCATCACTCAGTCCTGTAAGGGTCTGTGCCATCTCCAAAAGACTCTCTGAAGTCATGCTTTTTTAAGAATTCAGCAAAATGTGAATTTGCACAGGGACATGTACATTTTTTAGGCCATGTCTTAGACCAAGGTCAGGTACAGCCAGTTCCAGTGAAGGTGGAATCTATTTCAAATTTTCCCAAACAAGAAAGGACTTCTGAGAAAACTTGTCACTTGTGGCAGCCCCTCTGTCTAATTTTCTCGGCAAAAGAGCAAAATTTGTTGAGGACAGCAACTGTCGAGCTGCTTTTGATAAAATCAAAGCCATTTTCATGAATTCTCCTGTTCTCAAACTGGCAGTGGAGCTGTGCTGTTGCAGGAAGATGCTTCAGGCTTTGATCACCCTGTTTGTTTTGATTTTTCAACAATATTTGACAAAAATTGGAGATATTATTCCACAATCAAAAAACAAATCTGTTGCTTTTTTTATTAGCTCAGCAACAATTTGAAGTGTACTGTTTTGTTTCCTATATAAGTGAACACTGATCACAATCCACTGACTTTTCTTCATTAAATGAAGAATGAGAAACAATGCCTAACATAGTGGATTTAGAGATCAAGTCTATGACATGTCCTACAAAATGTACATGTGCCTGTGCTAAAGCAAACAAATACTCATGGCATTGTCACAGTTGTACAATCGACTTTGCTTACAGCAGATTGTGTTTGTCGCTTCTATTTACAACAGTGATTGCTTATGAATGATCAGCCTGCAAAAAATCCTAAATCTATCATGGTTCATCAAACTATCATATCTTTTAAAATTACAAGGTTGAAAGGTTTCAAAGAGAACTTACAACAGTTATAAAACAATTTCCAGGTTTCAAGAGTATCAAAACAGTTTCCTACAGTAAAGCCAATGTTAAAAATCTAGTGGAAACTAATTCATTTCGTCCAGTGTTAAATAAGCCATATTTTCAAACTTATCCTATCCCACGGAGAGTACTCTCTCTCTCTCTTATAATCGACCGTTGAGTGGAAATGAACTGTAAACAAAGTTTCTGGCCTCCCTTTGCCCGAACACACACCACTGCTCCTATTCCTGGACAGCCTGGAAGCCTCCTGAGAGGTTATACAACACCAAATGTCTTCCCATAGACTTCTATAGTAACCTTAGACTTGTAAATTTCATGTATAAGCCAGTTTAGAGAGAACAAAGTGAAAACATATCCACATAACTTTATTAGTTATCCTTAACAGTGTTTGGCAATATCAGCTAAAAACAGTGTTTCTCTACAATAATTTTTGGGTTACAGGGTGACAGAGAGACATAGTGTATTTGGGTAAACAGGGCAGATAATTTATTAATATCGAACACTAAATAATCATGTAAATACTATATGAACTCAGAACCTTAATGTTACATTTAACAAGGGTCAGTTGTTATTATTTACATCTAATCAGTGTCTGTGGTTGATGTACAGCCCTTAATTCATGTCTGGCAAACTGAATTACTGCACAGTGAGGCATTAAGGGAGCACTGTCAGACATTTCTAATGGATGAGGATGACCAAGTGTGGGGCACTGAAATGTACTATATATACCTACATGTCCAAGTACCACAACTTCTACAAGGCGGTAAAGCATATCGAAGTAAAGGGAGTATGCTTGATTACACACTGCCCACAACAGACTTCGGACCGGCTTGTCGAAATACCACATTGGATGAGAAGGCTTCTGTTTCTGCTGTAAGTGTGAAGATACACCTCCCCATTCACCAACGTAGCTCCAAATTAGGATGAACAATACGCTGACAAGGACATAGTGATAGGTTGAGTTCAAACTGCTTTAGTTGACTGTACAGTATAATAATTAGCGTCATAAAACGTATGCATTAAACATCTCAGCAAATATTTCGAATTCAGAAATTTTGCACTTGTGGGTAATGTTGCCCTTTTAAGTACCACACCCTGTAATACGCACCAGCGATAAGATGTTTGCTAGTGGCTGTTACAGTTTGCTATGTACAGAGTAACAGCTCGCTACGGTGATTCCAAACAGAGTTGATGCTTTCGATTTCATTTGTTTATTATTATCTTAATTTGTCGTAATGAGAAATTCAGCTTACATAATTATGTTCAAGAAGCATTACCATAACATGATTGTTAACTGCATTGGCCTTACTATGTCAGGAAAGGCTG